CAGCGCGGGGCGGCCCACGCCGACGGGAACTCAGCGCCGCGGCCCGTCAGGTGCTGCTGCGCTGGCCTTGTAGTCGCTGCTAAGGTGACTCTCACTGTGGTGTAGGAGGCTTGTAATTCCTTTGGCGTCGTCTTGGTAAATTCTGGGATCCGTATTACCTCACCCGGTTCGGCTGAATGATGCATAATTTTACCTTTTTTTTTTTTTACTTCTTTTCTTAGCTGGGATGGAAATTCTACGATGCAGACGACTACCATTCCCCAGAGAATAAAAAGAAGATGGCAGAAGGGATACCGCTAAATGACGAGGTACCTTGTATAAACCCCGAAAGAACAGTCATCGACACGTTTACCTTTGCAACCTCTGGCACATTGCGTCAAAGCGGACCGCGCTTCACGTAGGCTAGGCTGACTGTAAGCACAGGCTGAATGTTACCGCTCTGCAGCTGGTAAGAGGGGGAGGCTTTTTGTGTTATAAAGGATTCTGCATAAAAAAAATTAGTTTATGAGAGCATGCTTGGTAGCTCACATGGAGTTTGATGCCCGTTCAGGATTTGTCAGAAATCACAGAATCACAGAATGGCAAGGGTTGGAAGGGACCTCGGGAGATCATCCAGTCCAACCCCCCTGCTAAAGCAGGCTCTCCTAGAGCATTCTACACAGGACTTCGTCCAGGCGGGCTTTGAATATCTCCAGAGAAGGAGACTCCACAACCTCCCTGGGCAGCCTGTTCCAGTGCTCTGTCACCCTTAGAGTAAAGAAGTTTTTCCTCATATTCAACTGAAACTTCTTATGTTTCAGTTTGCACCCACTGCCCCTAGTCCTGTCGCAGGACACCACTGCAAACAGACTGCTTCCATCCTCGTGACTTCCGCCCTTAAGATATTTGTATGTGTTGATAAGGTCCCCTCTCAGTCTTCTCTTCTTCAGGCTGAACAAGCCCAACTCTCTCAGCCTTTCCTCATAGGGGAGGTGCTCCAGTCCCTTTATCATCCTAGTTGCTCTCCTCTCTCCCTCTATGCCAATATGCAGAATTGCAGCTTCAGATCACTTGCTGCTGCTTTGAGTTAAATACATGGAAGCAGACAGACATTCCTACTGAAGTGCATTTCATCACTTTCAGTTACTGCAGTGATTACTCCTTACACACTCCTACTTAAAATGTGCTTCCTTCCCTTCAGCCTAAACAGATAAAAATGACCAAGTTTACTTTCACAATACTTAGGAATTCAGAGACTTGAGTAGATTAGAAAAGTTACGGGATGACACCTCTTGAACTTTTTCTGGGAAATCTCGGGGAGTGTAAAACTGAACTAGGGAGTTCGCCAAAGCACTTGCTATTAGACTGAAAAAAATATTCTACATCCTTGTTAAAAACTTTAATCTTTCACTAGTGGTTAGAAGTTCGTATAAGCCAGTATGTCATCTAAAGCAGCACTGCACAACTGAATGACTAAGCCATTGGTGTATGGTGCCCAGCAAGAAATACCAGAGATGCAAAATTGTGCAGGTGTTCTTGAATGCCAGTGGGAAGCTATTCTGTAATGACAGTAACAAAAAAATGTGGCATATATTTGTCTCTGTTACCATTTGTTGTTCTCACCCAGCAGTAACAGCACTGAAAGATGAAATGGGAGCAATTGTTTAGTGCTCAGTAGGTATGACAAAAGTTTGTGGGAGCTTAAAATTTAAAATAAGATTATAATGAGAGGCTGACCAGTCACTCGCATTGCGCTTGCCTAACTTCTGAGCAAAGGTGTTGCAAAATTGTGGCTACGATTACATTTATTTGTGATTGCTACTGACATAAAAATCACATCATTAAGTTATTGCAGATAAGTGTTCTATTCTCTTTCTGAAAACCACCACTTTGATCCAAAGCATCGTGTGTGTATGCCAAGATATAAGGAAAAAGAAATAACAACTCAGGCTGTACATTTGAATTCTGTAACAGAACCAAGAGAGAAGTTGACCATCCTTCAGAGGTTTACGAGGTGCACGTGTCACGTAAATACTACTTCCATCAGATACTTGTAGGTATCGGTAATATGAGAAGTACTATTCCTCTAAAAACATCTTACTGATAATACGCCTAGCACTTGTGTTAGCCTTCAGTGATAGCAAATCTACATTAGGAAGAAAGAGAATCAAAACAGAACTTGCTGTGCAGTTTAATGCTAATTTTTGTCTCTAGTCAATGCTGTAGATGTTAGAAGCAATTGTTTCAAATCAATTTAATAAACAATTTTTAATTAACTTGTTTTCTTTCTAGGGCAGGATTCCCTGGCTTTGTGCATTGCATGATATACTGAGGAGGTGAGAGAACATCTGGCTTTTAAGGGGTTTGAGCTAAAGACAAAAAAAGTAGCAGAAGTATTTTCCCCATTGCATTCCAAAGCAGAAATGTAGGTAGTAGCATAAAAACATTCTGCAGCTAGTGAAGCCTTTCTATTTTCACTAATCTAAACTGTCATAATAATTGCTGAGGGTGAGATAATCCCTGAACAATAGTGTTGGGAAAATTGTTGCCAATGATAGTTGTTTTTCTACTGGCTATGTATAAATAATTTGAAGGATCTGGTTCATTAGTGACTTACAAAGGATATATCCACAGAATACACTGATAATGACAGTAGGATAACTTTTTTTTAAAATATTGTTAGCTTGAGTCAGATATGGTGTCAAGTTTGCTTGACACCATCTGCCGTAGGATCCTCAGTGAGAAGCTGATGGAAGTATGGGCTGGATGGGCAGACAGGGAGGACTGAAAACTGGCTGGATGGCCAGGCCCAGAGGGTGGTGATTGGCAGCGCAAAGTCTAGCTGGAGGCCAGTAACTAGGGGTGTACCCCAGAGGCCAGTACAGGGTCCTGTCCTGTTTAGCATCTTGATTTAAGGAGCCAGATGATGGGGCAGAGCATTCCCTCAGCAAGTTTGCAGATGACACCAAACTGGGAGGAGTGGCTGATCCACAGGGACCCTGACAGGCTGTAGAAATGGGCTGGCAGGAACCTCATGCAGCTTAAGAAGTGGTGCAAAGTCTTGCTCCTGGGGAGGAACAACCCCAAGCACCAGTACAGACATTGGGGGGCACTCAGCTGGAAAGCAGCTTTGCAGAAAAGGACCTGGGGGGCCTTGGTAGACACCCAAGTTGAACATGAGCCAGCGATGTACTCTTCTGGGAAAGCAGGACAGCGATATCCTGGGCTGCATTAGACAAAGTATTGCCAGCAGGTCAAGGGAGATGATCCTTCCCCTCTTCTCAGCACTGGTGAGGCCACATTTGGAGTACTGTGTCCAATTCTGGGCTCCCCAGTACGAGAAGGACATGGACAACCTGGAGAGCATCCAGCAAAGGGCCATGTAGATGATGAAGGGACTGGAGCATCTCTCAAATGAGGAAAGGTTGGGAGAGCAGGGACTGTTTAGCCTGGCTTTACACCATGGCTGTTACTTGCTTGTGTACATCAAGTGAGCGTACTGCAACTGAGCATGGGTTAATTCTCTGAGACATTTATCTATCTGGACTGTTACGCTGGATCCACTGCTTTACGTTACTTGCTAGCCCAAGGCCGCTGCCCAGCTCCAGAAACTTTGCAAAGTCAGGTGTATTTTAAAAAAGAGCCTAATGCCAGTGTTTAATTACTAGTACGTAAGTAGCTGAGGCTGGTGTTGGCTTACCTAGGTGATAATTGTATTGTAAGTTCTTACTTTCCTGTGAACCAATATTGGATGAACATAGCATGATTTTTAAATAGGTTTATACCTAATTTTAATTTCATTACAGAATGTATTTTCTTAGGTAGACCTTTCAGTCATTCTTCAAAGAGACAACTAATTCTGGATTTGCTTTTCAGTGGAACAGATGCAGCCACAGTTTAATGCTGGCTTAAAGAAACCTTGCCAGTAAAAAATATACATGCAAGGCATTAATTTACCTGCATTTACCTTGTTTAACTTGAAGTGGGCATATATGCAGTGCTGCCAATGCATATGGTTACAGGAGATGTAAAATTTAACATTACAGTCAAATCGGAGACAATGAAAACAGGTGTTAAAAGTATACCTGCATATGTATTGTTAAGAACAGAGCTGTGTACTGTTCAGCACCCACTTACTCTCTAGACAGGTTAGTACAGTAATTTTATAGATAATGGATGGGAGTTTGTATGGATATCCAAGTGCTGCTGTTCTCAGCAATTAAGGAAATGATCGTGACACTTCCCTGTGCTAGAATTGAATTTAATTTAGGAAAGAACAGTGGCTAACAACCCATTTTGTTACACCACATGTGGATGTTGGGGGGGTTTTTTGACAGAGAAGACTCATCTAGACAAGATGCAGTTCTGGCATGTTCTGCACTGAAGAAGATGTATAGGTGCTTGCTAGTTAGTGGAACGTCTGCAACGGAAAGCAACCAGCCAGAGCAACCAGGAGAAAACACAGCGCTGAAGATCCTCTTTGTACATTTGGATGGGCCTATAGACGTCATTGCTCGCCGCCTGGAGAAGAGGAGAGGACATTTTATGCCGCCTGAACTTCTCAAGTCTCAGTTTGATACTCTGGAGCCTCCTAGCGCATCAGAAAACTTTATTACTGTCAGCATAGAAAAATCTCTCCCTGAAATCGTGCTGGAGATTGAGCACACCATTTTTCAGGGTGAGGCTCTTCTGGAGTAAGTTTCTGACTTACACATACAGAAATTCCCATAAGGCTATCAAGGGTATGAAACAGCATTTTAATTGTTAAATGGCTTATTTTTCCCAATAATTAAAAGGATTGCAGTGTTAAAAGCTGGTTTACTACTGTTGGTGTTTTTATCATGACTCCGTAAGAGATACAAGATGAAATGTTCAAAACCTGCTAACTTTTTAAACCCTTTACTTTATAAAGTTAAAACTCCCATTTTAGGAAGAGCCTGCTTTTGAAAATCCTGCCAAGGGTCACACACAGTAATTTAATTTCTTCGTTTTAATTTTTACTCTCTCAGACATGGAGATGGGCACATCTGCTACTAAGCGATGAAATAATTTACAGCTTCATTAGAAATAATACATTTGTTTTTTCTAGGAGCCTTAAGAGGCAAGAACATGCAGAGTGAAGTTCCATGGCTGACACATGTCTCACTGCCAGGATTTTCAACAAGTTGTAGTTTCTGTGAACACTTACTGTATGCACTGAACACTGAGCTGAAAAAGATGCGAAAAAAGGTAGTGGTGGTGAGACAATACACAAAATATAATTGTCTAAAAAGCTTAAAGTATAAATGGCATCATAATTGGCTGTGAGCTCCCATCTTTCATGTACAACGCGTACCCACTGAAGTGCATTGGAGAGTGAGTCCAGCAGTGATCCAAGATACTGAATGATAAACGTTTCCTTATTCTAGACAACTTTTTCACAGTTGGACCTTTTCTTTCACTTCCCTTTTCTGGTGTGGCTTTAGTCTTCCACCTCAGCCGATGTCCAGTCCAATATATGCTTATGGATGGGTAAAGCATACAACTGCTTTAAAGCTTAAGATCAAACTATTTCTAATGCACGTTTTTCACATTTTTTTTGTGACCAGAAAATTCCAAATACCAAATCATTTACCTAACTCACAAAATTTAAGGTTAAAATCCTTTTTTATTGCCAAAGTGGTTTTTAAAAAGTTCTTTATGCCTTGTTACACAAGAGTTGCCTTTTTACCATAATGAAAACTGCAGGTAAGTTTCTATAAGAAAGCTTCGAGTCACATCCCTACAGTGTCATCCCCATGTGCTGTTGCACATGGATTATTTTTAAGGTGTCACATGTTTTTTTTTATTTCTAGGATGATGGATGACCTTTAGAAGTAAAAATCATGTTTCAAAGCGTCTTTGGTGTAATTTTTACCTGGGTAACTAGTTGAAAAAATGTTTCTCTGGTTCTCATATATTGAATAGTAACAGCTTTGTGGTTTATTAGGGAAACTACTGTGCTTAGATCAGTGCAATAAATTGGCATTATCTGACTGAAAGCAGGCATTTTTAGATGAAGATTTGGGATTGCAGACATTAACACACCCATCCAGAAGTGGTCTTTTCCTGTTTGCTCATGAGCTGGAGGAAGAATAGCGGGCAGTCACCAGTTTTAGTCTGCTGCTGTACCCTACCGCAGCACTAGAAAAAACGCTTGCTCTTGCTTCAGGGCCTGTTTATTCTGAGAGCCAATGTGCAACTTTAAGGCTCAGAGGCAAGGTTAAGTGGAAGAGACAGGCATGTCTGGCTGTCTTAACACCCCCATATTTCAGAGACTGGGCACCTCTTCAGAGCAAGTGACTTGTCAGAACTGTAAAATTTTAGTAGCTATCAAAAATCAGAGAAATGGCACCCTCTTGCGGTACCTCTACTTTTAATGAAGTTTTCATATTTTCTTAATACACCATTTTACAAAAAGCTTTTCTAATACACCCATTATTAAGTACAGATTTATGCTTACTTTTTTCAGACACAAACTAGATCAGGTCAGTGTGCATTGATGGGAAAGCAGCTGCATCTTGTCACAAACAGATGAGCAGACCTTCAAAGAGAGGAAAAAAATACTGGGCAAATTTTCAAGTGAGAGTGCCGAACAGGCTAGATCTGCTTGCCAGCATTTATAGCTGTCCTGGTTTCTGCTGGGGCAGAGTTAATTTTCTTCCTAGTAGCTGGTATGGTGCTGTGTTTTGGATTTAGTACTAAAAGAATGTTGATAATACACTGATGTTTTAGTTGTTGCTGGGTAGTGCTTAGTCTAGCCAAGGACTGCCAGGTGCTCGAGAAGCTGAGAGGGGGCACAGCCAGGACAGCTGACCCAAACTGACCAACGGGCTATTCCATACCATGTGACATCCTGCTCAGTATATAAGCTGGGGGAAGAAGGAAGGGGGGGGGGATGTTCGGAATGATGGCGTCTGCCCAAGTCACCATTACGTGTGATGGAGCCCTGCTTTCCTGGAAATGGCTGAACACCTGCGGGCCGGTGGGAAGCAGTGAATGAATTCCTTGCACGGCTTTTGCTTTTGCTATTAAACTGTCTTTATCTCAACCCATGAGTTTTCTCACTTTTTGTCTTCTGTTTCTCTCCCCCATCCCACCGGGGGGGGGGAGTGAGCAAGCGGCTGCATGGTGCTGAGTTGCCAGCCGGTGTTAAACCACAACAATAGCATGCTTACAGAGTGGCTGGCACTAACAGAAAATTGCACTCAACACTTAAAAAACCATCCTCTCTTAGGGAAGTCTATGTAAGTACCTTGGAAGTCTTTTCTAAACAGAATGGTATGTTCTTACAGGCAGTTCACACTCCTTCAAATTAGGTCTGGGTATTTCTCTCTGCTCCAGTGACAGGAGTATTTCCTTCCCTTAACCTTTTAATATATTTGCCTTTTACTTGAAGCAAAACAAAGTATTTCCACGGTTTAAATGATGCTGAAAGGACAGCAAAGCAACCATGTAAATTAACATGCCATTAATCTTGTGAATTACTGGTGCAGTTTTCGCTACTTGAGTTCAGTAGTCTGTTACATCCTAATTAGCTGTGCTTGAAGGTTGTAATTCCCACTTAGATCCTGCCATTAAAAGAAGATACCTCTATATCTTTACTATTCCAGCCTCCACATTAACTAGAAATTATCAGCACCTAAAGCTAGTCATATTTTGCATACCTAGTGTCCATGAGAACCTCCCGTGTCCAGGGAAGGGCAGCTGGCAGTCCGTGGATGAACACTGCAAGATGTGAAACGCACCAGTTTTTTTTCAGAATGCAGACCTGAAGACAACACCGAGCCTCTGTGTTTCTCTCTCAGAATCTCAGAAGAGGATGGAGTTTGCCTCTACCTTGCTCTATCTCAGAGGGGGACAGATGCAGCCAAAAAACCTGCAGAACCCACCTCTCTCGACAAACAAATAGGAACCAAGAAGCCATTACTTCCACTGAGAAGTGCAGATGAAATCTTCAGGAACGCAACTTCTTACAGATGCTTTCCCTCTAAACTCTTCCTGCTTGCTTTTTATTTAGAAAAGGAAGGTTGCAAGACTCCTGGGAAACTTCATTAGTTCCATCTGATGTTTATTTTCCCCAACATAGAACCAGGCTTGCATACTTAGCTGGACAGAACTGTCAGAATTTACCATTTCTGAAGCTTTTGCCACAGTGCCACATCTGTGAGCTGTACAACGCTAAATCCACAGGGGCTGGCAGGAGTGGTTGGCTTTTCCCCCTCCGTATGGAAAGCCTGCTTGGTTTCCACCGGCCTGTTCACATGCAGCTGCAGCAATGCACAAATTGCTTTGAAAAGAATACTGCACTTGCATTGCGCAGGGCTATCTGCCGACGCCGGCTTTGCAGTTTGAGACAGTTCCAGATACTGTACAGAAGGTTGTTGTCAACTGAAACAGTTAAGTGGTCACCTGCTATTCTGAAAAAACAACAAAGCTTTACTTCTGCTCACTTACACCCTGCGCGTCACAAGTTAAAAGATGTCAATCATTCAAATATGACCCACATACAACTGCTCTCCGATTTTGATGATGCTGTGCACGTGTACTATGGAAGGAAACAATCACAGAACAATCCCCGTACCTAAGTTCCATTTACCTGCCCAAACACAATCCTACTTTTTTTTTTTTTTTTTTTTTTTTTAAGTGAACATAACACTGTATTAGGGACGCTGCATTCAGGTTAGCTGGGACAGTTATTTACATTTAGCTCAGGTTATCTGGATGCAATTTTTTCTGCCTGTATCTTGAAATACATTTAGCCAAAGCAGCAAAAAAACTAAGGAGGAAACATCTGGAGTTAGAAATTGCTTTTCCTGTCTCTGCCACGAGCACAAGTTATCCAAAGAAGGTACATGTGCTATACCTCCTCAAGAACGTATGCCAAGCACGGTTTGTAACATGTGAATACTACAGCGTAAGCATTTCACAGTGCTGTCATGAGGAAATGAAAATGAGATGGAAATGTTAGATCCCAATAGCAGTATCCACTCACACATTAAACACAGGGAAGTTAAGAGTCTTCTTAAACAGCACAGGTTATACATACAGGCAAAGGACCAGACCCAGCTGCTCGCCAGCTCAGCTCTAAATTGGGGTGGTTGTTTTACTTACTACGCAGGCACTGAACAAACAGGAGAATTAGCCAGACCGCATCCTTTACTAAATGAGCCATCTTGATGCCATGTTCCCAATAGCACTGTAACTAGAGGGTACTTCTGAGGTAAGAATTTTAAAGAGGGACAAGAAAAAGGGCAACAAGTATGGGAGCAGAGGAGGCACGAACAGGAACACTGTATTACGCTATTAAACCAGTAAGTGTGATCTTTTATTGTTAAAGATGTAATAAAAAGTCTACCCTACCTATAAACCTTGTTCTACTTACCGCGTTTTCCAACAACACTAGAATTCCTCCTGTGCAAAAGATGGCACGGTGTTTTACCACCACTTAGAAGACGGTCAGTAACTGTTGTTACTAGTTTAAAACAGTTACCGAAAAATAGCAGCTCTACTTCATGAAGGAAACTTAGCCCAAGCACTCATTGTAAAATCTAGGTCAAACTTACCTCTTGTTGAATTACAGTAGAATTTTACTTCAAATACAGCATCTCTTAGTTGGTAATGTGCAAATGAAATATTTACAGAGGTGAACTGAATATTGTCCCAAGATCGGCGTTCATGCTTGTTAGATTCACTGTTTTAGTGTCTTGGTAAACCTCGGTAAAAATTACTCCCTTCCCATCCCCACCTCACCCTCGCCCTTCCATTTGTCAGTAGCCTTTTTGGATGTTACGGATTATATTCTTAAAAGGACCTGCCTTCTGAATGACTTTTTTAAAGCGAGGTCCCAGCAAGGCACATTATAAAGTCAAGTCAAATTAGTTACTTTGAAGATCCTAATAGCCATCCTGAAAATAACTGTAAAAAAGTAGTGATTATTCTACAGAAACTACTTGCGGTCTATCACTTTTCCTATTGCAGCCTTGTACCCAGTGCAATCAAAGCTACGCACCCAACAGAAGCCATTGTGATGGTATGATGATGGGCCTGATCAGTGGCTAGGAAATACAAGTAATAATAATTTTGTACCCAAACTGTAGGTATGTTAAAAGGTTTTGGTTTATATTAAATTCATCTTACAAATAGATTCTATTTTAATTTATTTCTGTTGATTTAACACTCGGTGCTGCTGCATCATTGAGACTTTCATCCAAAGGCCAACCAAGATATTTTCTTGAACTTTTCCCAGTACCATGCATCAGCAGTATTTGATCCATTTACTTACTGGCAAAATAAGAGATGAGATTACTGGACAGCGAGTGAAACATCTCTTCAGTGATAAGAATACAATGCAGTTACTGCCAACAAAACTGCATATGTGGCTTTGCCGAAAGTTTTAAAAATTTCACTGAAGCGTGCTCAACTTCTTCCTTTATATCAAGTTATAATTTTGCTTCATCAAACTGATGAACAACTTTGAGTTAAAACAGGTAATTTTACACCACTTTCAAGCAATGATTGTTAGGCTAGACTGAAGTTATACTTGTAGCATCAAAAGAAAAAGACTGTTCAAACCCAGTGTTTAAAAGCAGTACAGGAATTCAGTGAGCACGTTCACAACTACACTGATGCAGAAGACCAATAAAAACCAGATCCTCTTCAGCCACACACACAGAGTAGCGTCTCTTATTCTGCTACCCCCACTTTATTTGAGCTGGTGGTTTTCAGCACCGTATCATAGAATCATAGGATTGTCTAGGTTGGAAAAGACATTGAAGATCATCAAGTCCAACTGTTAACCTAACACATATTAAGCCATCCCACCACTAAACCATGTCTCTAAGCACCTTGTCTACCCATCTTTTAAATATCTCCAGGGATGGGGACTGGACCACCTCCCTGGGCAGCCCATTCCAGAGCCTGACAACCCTTTCTGTGAAGAAATTTTTCCTAATGCCTAACCTAAACCTGCCCTGATGCAACTTTAGGCCATTTCCCCTCGTCCTATCACCCGTTACCAGGGAGAAGAGGCCGACCCCCACTTTGCTACAGCCTCCTGTCAGGCAGTTGTAGAGGGCGATCAGGTCTCCCCTCAGCCTCCTCTTCTCCAGGCTAAATAACCCCAGTTCCCCCAGCTGCTCCTTGTAAAACTTGTGCTCCAGACCCCTCACCAGCTTTGTTGCTCTCCTCTGGACATGCTCCAGCAACGCAACATCTTTCTTGTAGTGAGGGGACCAAAACTGAACACAGTATTCAAGGTGCGGCCTCACCAGCACCAAGTACTGGGTCACGATCACTTC